GCCAGCTTTGACTTCCCGAAAGCCAGCTGCCATTACTACATTCGTTTGAACTTGGTGTTAAGAGAAAGGAGGACGTGGAGGATGAGATGCCAAGGGAGAGAAAGGCCCTGCCTTCTCTTTGTCATTCTAGCCATTCCAGCCTAGATGCCAGACAAATGAGAGAAGCCACTGACCCTCCTCCAAAGCCAGATGAATTATCTAACCCAACTTTGGGTGGAGCAGAGTCAGGCTGTCCCCACAGGGTCCTGCCCAAATTGCAGAATCATGAGCAAGTAAATAGTTGTTTATGTTTTCACCATTAAATTTTGGGGGCATTTCATACATCACAAAGAGTAACTAATACAAGGACTTTGGTGCATTATACAATCCCTAGGGCAGAAGACTTGATTCAGGCTCTAATTTCTTCATTTATAAAGTCCAGGATAGGGCAAGTTAATCCCCAGGACCCCTCCCTGCTCTGACATTTTATTATTCAGGGAATAATTCCATCACGTTTGGGGAGCACCTCCTATTGCTGGCTAGGCACTGCTAGATGTCTTGAGGTGCAGCAGATAAAGTGTGAACAAAACAAACTCAAGCACTCAGGGGACAGTATCTACAACAGAAGACATTTTCCAATAATTTTTGTAAAAGTAGCTAGATTGCTAGCTCCCATCTAATGTGCACAAAGGGAAATATGTCGCTCTTTCTTGGCCAAAACCATTTTTGTTCCAAGTTGGTAGTAAGTTCAACAAAACCAGTTACAGTCTTCCAGGGTCTCATTTTGCGTACAAATATTGTTTTTGCTTTCTAGAATTACAGTTTTAACGCACAAGCATAAACAAAAGAATTAAAAACATTTATATAGATGCAAAGATACTGATTAGCATTAGCCGTATCAGTTTTCCTTCAAAAATTTGGCTAAAATGCGCACATTATACACAGAAAAATGCAGGTAATTGGAAATTGTATCAAAACTGCTGCTTCATTTCCTATCTGTCCTGCTGGAAGGACCTATCATGTATAATCCCTAAAGTGCTGGGTAACAGCTTCGGGCTGGGTTTTAAGAGACCCCAGTTGTGGCAGACTGTGCAGCTAATTCCTATGTCACAGTGAACACAGCCCTGAACGTCTGTCAGCTTTGCTATCATCCTCTGATTCCCAGGTGTGAATTAAACTTCACCTGGAAAGTAAACGTGGATGTTAAATTAAACGGGAGATTAAAACCCAGAATCATTAAGACGGGGAGGAAGAGTCCTGGTGCAGGTGGCTCATGGCTGTGTGTAATCCTAGTACTTT